TTGAAATTCTCTGTAGTTTTTCAAAAGCGCCCGGAAAAACATTTTTATTCAAAATCGTTTTTTTATATAACTCTAAAAAAAAGTACCAACTATACATGACGATGACATTTGCATTGAATGTTTATATTAACATTTTCTATACACCATACAATTTTCAAAATATTTTAATTCATGTTAAGCTATTTGAAGGCTTATGAAATTTTCTATTCTTATTAGTTTTTTAAAAATTAATGTCGATAAAAAGCGTTTGCACGGCCAATAAACTTGAAAATGTAATACAATACATATATTATATATATATATATATATATATATATTCAATATTATATGCCTAATATTATTATAATTTTCTGATGAATGCAGCATTGTGACAAAATGAAAGTACTACGTTATGTTTTAATCATTTCAACATTTGATTAAAATGGTATTTCATAGTTTTATAGCTAGATATAATAACTATAATATACGTGTCACCGTGTTATGGTAGCCGGTAGGTATATAAGTAGGTACATATTTTAATGTTAATTATTATACATTTACTCTCTTTTATGTGAGTATAAACGTTTTTAAAAATTTCTAACTCAAAGTAATTTCAAATTTTCGTGATTCTATTTTCAATTAGTAAAAACTAAACGTTATTTTCAAACGTAAATATTATTTTACTTTTATAGTCTTATATTATTATAGAAATTATTATAATTAATGACAATATGATATATAGCCATATAGGTGGTAGTATACACTACTATACATCATACAATTGTTTTAAATGGATTAATATTAATTAGTATAGTTATTTTGTTTATTGGTACAATGGTACCTATCTATTAAAGTGATGATAACCATATTGTAAATGTATATTAGGTTTAAGGCAAATAAACAAAAACAAAAAAATGGTGGGTAAGTGGATGTTGTTCTGCTGTACAGTGCATGTTACAAGTGGGTCACTGTATAATGGATGATATTAAATTTGAATTCGACGATATATTATCATAGTATAAGAAAAACGATTCTGAGCGGAGACGGTATGTCAGTCTAGGTATAGGACATATTATATACATATCTATGGTATTAAACAAAAAATTGACCTATAATAGGTACCTATCATAAATTCAAAATTAATCATATCACAATATCCATTAAGTACTTATAACGCGTTATACATCAACAAAAACCGTGATACTATCATAGATATATAATAATACACTTTAGAAGTTTCAAGTACCCACGAATAATATTATTCAATCACAACAAAAAAACTAAAATAGTTATTCTAGGTTTTTTAATATGTAATTTCGTCCAAATTTGAATTTAAAATGTCTGTAAAAAATAACTGTGTTAATATATTTTTTTGGATTTTTTGGTTACAGTATGAACTATTTATGAGAACCTTTTTTTAAATTTTCAATCCTTAGCTATAAAAACTGAAAATTTTATAATTTATTAATTACAATGATTGATAATTTTCTATAGAAAAAAAACTAAAATAATTGAAAACTGAAAATGTCCGTAAACAGCTCAAAAAGAGTCAAAATATTTTCAAAATTGTACGGTGTATAGGAAATGCTAATACGAACATTCAGTGAAATTTCTATGTATCTACAGTTATTCGTTTTTGAATTACAACAAAATAAGGAAATCGCTATATGAGAAATCGAGTGAATATCCAATATTGTAAAAATTTGAATTTCAAACGCTCATAAAAATTTAATTTGACTTTGTTATAGATATTTTTTTTTTTTTGATAAAGGTAGATAATCTTATAAGGAATCTTGTATTACATTTTCAAATCTTAGATTTAAAAATAAAAATTTTTACGAATTCTTAACTCAAAATAATTTGCTAATTTTCGTGATTTTTCCATATTTTGTCAATTTTTGAACTTTAAATGCTTATAAAAAAAAATTGTGACTAAGGATTTTTAATATTTTCCATCTGCCTTTGAAACAATTTACTAGGAGCCTTCTATTAAATTTTCAAGCTTTTTTAACCAACAAATAAAATTTAATTGATATTTCTAGAAAAAAAAATAAAAAAAAATGGAAAATGAATTTGTCCCTTAACAGTTCAAAATAAATCAAAATATTTTGAAAATGTTATCGGGTATAGAAAATGCAAATATAAACAACCAGTGGGCAGTGAACATTTCATGTATCTACGGTCATTTTTTTTTAAAGTTACACCAAAAACCAAATTCAATTTTGTGAAAAATCGATTTTGCGTAAAAATTCCCGTTTTTCCTTAATTTTTCTTGGCTCTTTTGAAAATTACTGGGAATTTTAAATTTTGAGTTTTGACCTCCCCAATGCACCAACGATATTCACTTTCCTATCAGAAAAGCTACTGTTGAAGAAAATCCAAGCATTTTTACTGTCCTAAAACGTGATGACAAACACAAAAAAAAAATTTAAAAAAAAAACATACATCATTATAAAGTTAATACATTCATCGTTCTACTTAGAATCTAAAATAGTTGATAGGATAAAAATATTTAAAAAAAGTATATCTTGGGATTTTAATATTATGGTATTTTATTTTTATTCCTGTATGAATATAATTTGAAAAAAATATATTTACGATTTGTGTTGTTTTAACTTTCCAGAAATAGATTATTTAGATTTGATGGTAGGTAAGTTTCATAAATAATTGTGATACATGCTTTATTATAAATCATTAGCACCAAAATCCGCTATAATTTAAGGCTTGAAGCATAGTGTTGTATATTATAGACTACAGTGTTACCTATATCACTGTTAGGTAAACCTAACTCCTAAGTATAATATATATACATATATATAAGAGTATGAGTAGGTAATTATATGGATTAACACCTACTAAATAATTATTTTTAGATCTGACTGATTTTTATTCCACAAAAATTGATACATATTTATAATCTACCAGCCTTGTATAAACTAATTTTTAAAATTTTTCAAGTACCGATACTGATCTTATTTTTAAAAGCATTTAAAATAGATACCTATGTGTTTGAATAATCAGTAATAAGATTATTTAAAGATATCAACCTTCAAATTTTTTATTAAATATTTATATTACATTATAAATCAGCTGAACCGATTTTCATGTATTGTACATTATTTGGACTCCAGCGAATCATGTTTTAAAGAGTGATATTTAGGAATTTCATTTGATATGAACATTTGGGCTATGTCTATGTGTGATTAGTAAATTATCATTAGTGTGTGTTTCCTACTTCCCGAGAATCGTTGTCATAATGCCACGTCGGGCAACCGCCGTCGGATATAACTCTCGCATTCTCTTCACATGTCAAATGTCAATACTTCGCGAAAAAGACATTCTCGTTATTGCATTTGCATAACTATAAAAATAACTAAAAACAGTAGTAAATTAAATTTACTTCCTGAAAATTGATTATAATTAAAAAAATTGTTGAATTTTCAATTTATAAGCTTCTAGACTATGCCCTTATAAGGAATCACTTTTATGATTTAAAATCAGACGTGCTCGAAATAAATACAAATGTAATGCAATTATTTCACAGGAATTTTGAAAAAAAATCGTTATTTTAAGGTCTTTTAAAATTGAAAATTGAAAATCGACTTTCTAAAAAGCCTAGATATTTTGTCAAAGAGTTCATACATGATAAATACATAAAAAATTAAAAACGGACATTTCTGAGTACCTATAATGTCGTATGTGTAATTTATCACCACTGAAAAGGTTCGTATAGATACCTAGGTATACTTTTACAAATTACAAGATTTACTTAACAATCTTACCAATAGCAGATCTAAAAGTCCCCCTCCGGTCTCCAGTTTCGATGAAGTTATGCTGAGAATATATTGAAGAAAGATTTTAACATAAAAAAAAAAATGTAAAAAGCAATAAAATTACGCTAAACTAAACTTGCCACCTAGCTCGTAGATATACATATATAGATGGGTATATAGGCTATATAGGCCAAGGCCCTTATTAAGAGTTAGCCAACTGACTTACTAACATTTAATCTGATTTCTTGAATACCTATTATACAATATTTTCTATCTAAATTCAATCAAGTAGAAGTGACAATATCACAATAGGTACCTCATTGTGATATATTAGGTACCTACTAGTTGAAAAACATAAAATTAATGATAAACATATTAAAGTTACAGTATGTTTCGACTGTATTATAAATTCAAATTTAAAAGTACCTAGGTGCATGCGAAAACTCAATTGTTAATTTTACTATCAATAGACGTCCTTAAAACAGGCCTTAATAAAAATAAACAAATCGGTAAAATATTTCAGAACCAGAAGTTCAAGTTTTAGAGAGAAAACCTAGACATCTTCAGTTACTCCCCCCCCCCAACCGGAAAACACTCACACCGATCAAAAATGTTGACTACCTAGGTATACTTCACTAGTGTGAAACGAACGCTCTATATACATCGTAATCTGTGACGGTTAAGGTGCTTGATGCATATATATCAAATGAATTGTTTACCGATGACATACGATGTTTACTCGTTAACCGAATAGGTAGAAATAATCGGTAGAAAAACAAATTTATCACCGAAAATATTCGACCTACGTCCGGATTTTTTACGAAACGCTTCCACGCTTGTACATATTTTGTACAATGTACATAATTATTAAATATTTTGTGGTGTTGTGCTGATGTACTACGATTCTACTGAGCGGCGAGCGCTGACGTCAGCGAACGCTGTCGAAGGTCGGTTCAGCGGGCGACCTTAAAAAACAATTCCATAACAATATTTCCATGTCGTCGTTGTGCTCGTGTGTGATAAGTGATAACAATTTCGATGATAAAGACGTGTTCATCAAACTGCTGACGATGTGATAGTGTGAATGTGTGATGCCGCGGCGCTTTAGCCTTCAGTCGCCAGTCATTGCTGCCGCCGACATCGACGTTCGTGTTTGCTGACCATTTTTTTTTACTTCCCTTTCAATAAACTCATCCGTTTTTTGTTAATTATCATCTTACCTTTACGCGTTTCAATCGCCAAACAAAAATGTCCAAGCCCAAGGTGTACGTCGTCGGAGTCGGCATGACCAAGGTAACCAAGGAATTATGTACCTACCTACTGACGACTTAAAAATATGTCGTCCGACCTATTTATTCGTATTGTATAAACAATGCATCTAGTCGGTGACACTATGCCTTGCTTTTCTTAATGCGTCGTCTTGGGACAAAGAAAGATTATGCTTTCAATTTCACTTTCTGTTTGTATTTCTCGATGGGCCTTTCTCTTCTCTGTGTTCCACTTCAGGGGCGTAGCGTGCATGTAAGCACTGTAAGCACTGCTTACACTTTAAATGAAAGAAAAATAAAATTGATCAATCACGAGTCACGACTAATAAGTACATAATAAATGATTTTTAAAATTTTAATTTTATTTATACAATATTTAAGTTATAGCTGGTAGTGGTATTTGTTATTGTTTATTTGTGTCGTACGCTGTCTACTGATTACCAACTAATTTAAGAAAATCATCGATTGTAGGTCTATTTTTAATCCATTCTGTATTATGTTAACTGCATAATCATAATACGATGTACATACGTACTACGTACAGTGTAACACATTCTGAAATTGCTTACGCGCAACTGTTGTTTTCGAATAGTCTATAATGCCATAGTGGGGGCCACGTATTTAACTAGCGTTTGTAAGCACATTTGATTTTGCTTACGCGAGAAACAAGGAGCGACCAGTACGTAGCCCGACGCGTTGTAGACTGTAGTCGTTTTTACGTACACTGTCACTGTCATTCGCCTAATAGACTTTTGAAGTATTTATACTTCAATTTCTTTATTTTCTCGAATTTGATTTGTACAACTAGTATATTTTTAAAAATATTAAAAATTTTAAAAGGATAACATTTTTTTATACATAATTTATAATTAGATATTTAGGTCTAGTACCTATATTCTAATCACTTTTGAAAAAAAAATTTCACTGCTTACATCTTTTTAATACCCACGCCACGCCACTGTTCCACTTACTACTTATTATGTAACTGAAGATGTCGCTCACTAGTATAATAGTTCCTCGTCGTTCCTAAATATAAAGTTGTAGCTGCTGCTGTAGCCAGGTCAAGTCATTAAATATAATCTATGGACATTTTGATCATGACAATTACGTTATTGATTTTGGAGAGTTTTTTCAATACCAATACAGCTTATGGTCAGAGTCGGACTGGGGCCCCAGCTTAACTATGGTAATTGGGGGCCCCTGATTTTTTACCTTCGTTTAGAGTAAATAAAAATACGAAAAATAAACATTTTTTTTCTAATCAAGAGGCGTATTTTTGTTGGGCTAATCAAAACATTTGCCATTTGCCTGTTGGGGGCCCTTTTTTCCAAATCACAGACTGGGCCTTTTAGAGCCAGTCCTACACTGTCTATGGTGTCTAAAAAACTTTTTATCTGCTTTAAATAAATTGATATTATTATGCGTAGCTACATGTTCATTATAATATATACCTAGGCTCAGGCGGTGTGACAATTTTGCTCATATCTACATAATAACCATGTGTATGAAGTGACGCTCCCCTTAAGAGGTTTATAGCAGGTCTATTTTTTACAAAATTATACTTGCCAACATGTTGATTTAATATATTAATGGTCCCAAAGGAACTTTTGCCGGCCAGTTCTTATCTCTGGTATATCTATGTATAATTGATATGGTATACACGGCCCACGACTCATTTTTTTTATTGCTCGCAGCTACATATATTAATGGACAGTTAATAGTAAAAAATAAATAAATATAAAAAATATATATATAATTTTAATTTGAAGAGGCATAAACGAGGTATACCTACTGTATCTACATTATGTTACTTTCCTGTATTAAATTAATAAGTAACTTTGATACATTTTTATGTGCTGCCTTCATAGTAAACCGTTATATAATATTTAATATATTTAACTTAGTTAAAACTTAGTTAGACCATAGTCAGACTTGGGGTTAGTATTCCAAATAATTTTAAAATACCGTTCCTTAAATTTTTTAATACTGTGTTCTGAATACTTTATTACTTTATTACAGGGCTTAGCACCCATTCAGGTTTCGGGTGCTGGATGTATTTGGGTGTTTAAACACAGGAATAAAAAGTTTAAACAAATATTTGGGTTTTTAAAATCGCTATTATTCGGGTTGATATTGGTTAATATGAGTGTTGAGTAGTCTGGAAAAAAACATAGCTTTTGATGACCCCTTCCCCCCCAAAAAAAAAAAAAATTATTCATGCAATGACTTATTATATTATGTATAATGAAATATATATTTTTAACATGAATTTGCAACATTTGTTGTAGACAAAACTCAGTTTATTAATATACAGTAGTTACATTTTTCTAAGAAACTACTAGAACTAATACAAAGTGAAATTAATTATGTACCTATTCATTTTATTTTTTTATTTCAAGAAAATAATTATTGAATTTACTTATGATTGATTGTAAGTTTGTTCCTGTTAATTTATTATTTTTATTTAACAACTAACTACAGAATTGAACTCTATAAGAAATACATACAAAATGATATATCACATGAAGAGTGTAAAAACAAAATTATTTGTGTATCCGGTTAACCCGAATGATTTATTTGGGTTTTGGTTAATATGGGTGTTTTGAAAACAGAATCATTCGAGTTATATGGGTTTCGGGTATTTGATTTTTTAAGGGTGTTTAGGAGTGTTAGGAGTTTTTGTTAATTCGGGTACAAGGCCTTGATTTATGTTATATAGACTTATAGTACCTATTTAAATAAAATATATTTTAACATTGGCTATAATTTAAAACTGAATAGAGTATAGTATTGCTGGGTTGCAGACAAAATTGATTCATATTTTAATGATTCATTAACATTCAAAACTTTAATATTTTTCAATACTGTATAAACTAAAGTAGTAAAATCAAAGAATGTATTTTAGTTCAAAGCTTTGATTAATAATTTGTTTACTTCAAATTATGTTTTGTAATAGATTTCAATATATTTGAAGCATTTTTATAGCAACAATAATGTTTTTTGATTTGTGAAGATGATATAACATGAATCTATCTAATAACAAAGGTAAATTGATAATTGTGTAGTATTGTTGTAAATTCAGATAATGATCTATTTTGTTACATACTGTACACAATTTGTATTATTATATGTATGATAAAATGAAATTGATAAAAAAAAAATACTAAATTACTTATATTCTAAAATGTTTGTTTAGTACCAAAATATATAGGTACATAATATTAAACACAACCATATAAATATGAAGTAAAAAAACCATAAAATGCAACCATTAAATTATTTTTTGGGCATCTAAGACAATTCTGTTATATAAATTTACATTCATAATTTTATCTCCATTCTACATAATAGGTAGGTAGTGATCGGCTATGGTTTCCCAGATAGTATGATTGTTTAACATATTTACAAATATTGTATTGTGACAAAGAAAACAATACAAATATGGTGTGCTTAATTGCTTAAGCTTGTATTCTGATAGTCATAATTAAGGTCGATGATTCCATTGATAACTGTAAATATACTGTAGGACTTTATACATTTTTTGTTTTGGTTTGGGTTGTATTTAGTTGGTAATATTTATTTATAAAAACCTAAATCATTCTGATCTTAAAAGGATAGTATTGTAATGTATTATATTTTATAAAGATTATTATACCCTTTGTTAAATGTTTTGTATTTTAAAATGTACATCTATAATATAGTCTTAACATGTTTATGGTTAAAAAGAAAACATCTTAATAATACATTTTATAATGTTTTAGTTTGAAAAACCTGGTCGTAGAGATGATTTTGATTACCCACAAATGGCAGTTGAATCTGTCACTAAAGCTCTACAAGATGCAAAAATCAGCATTCAGGAAGTGGATCAAGCGTGTGTTGGATATGTATATGGTAATAATAATTAGAATAAAAAATGTATGTAGATTATATAATATCTATAATAATATATTATTATAACCATATTTTAGGTGATTCTACTTGTGGACAAAGAGCTTTGTATGAAGTAGGGATGACTGGAATACCTATTTATAATGTCAATAATAATTGTTCAACTGGATCTACGGCCCTATATTTGGGTAAACAAATAATCGAATCTCAAAATGCACAATGTGTATTAGTACTTGGTTTTGAAAAAATGGAATCTGGATCATTATCTGCCAAAGTAAAAAATCATAAATATTTATATTGAACACTATTATGTGTAGGTAAATATAGATTTTTTTAGTTTTTAGATCGAACAAATCCAATGGACAAACATGTGACACTAATGGGCGATTTAGTTGGTTTAGATGGAGCACCCATAACTGCACAACTTTTTGGAAATGCAGCTTTGGAATATATGAATAAAAACGGCATAAAACCTGAAACACTTGCTAAAATTGCCCATAAGAACCACAAACATTCAGTTAACAATCCGTTAGTACATTTTTCTAAAATAATAACATAACATAACACTATAACATCAGACATAATATGTTCGCTTTGATCAAGCTTCAGTTCTGGTCACAAAATTGCCCGTTCCCCATGAACAATTCAATTCTGGTGTTTTTAATGGAACACCCCGTAATACATAATTTTAATTTAATAGAAAAAAATTAGAAACCTTTTACATTAACAATATTGTAAGTAATTCAATACATTTCAAAATATATTGAAAATTAAATTTTTAATAAAATAGTGTAATATAAGCCATCACAAAATTAAAAACATTAATGTAATACAAACTAAATTTTCTATTCATATTTAATAATTACAAAAGTCAGTACTATTTTGAAGTAATTTTCATGTTAAATTTATTGTCTATTTAATTTTATCAAACTATTGGATAACAATTTTCCTGGTTCCCAGTTTTCACTGTATGAAATTCAAATTAAATAAATAAATAAATTAGTCAATTAAAATTTATTAATTTTCAGATATTCTCAATTCCAAAAAGAGTATACATTAAATGAAATACTTGAATCGCCTAAAGTATTTGGTCCATTAACAAAACTTCAATGTTGCCCAACGTCTGATGGATCTGCAGCAGCTATTCTAGCATCTGAACAATTTGTCATTAAAAATAACCTTCAGGATCAAGCAATTGAAATTGTTGGAATGGAGATGGCTACTGACCCACCAACCACATTCTCTGGTCAAACTTGTGTTCAAATAGTAAATCATAAATATTACATGAATATTATTGTAATTGTATTTAAAGTTAATTTATATTTGTGTGTAATATTTGTAGGTAGGATATGACATGACCAAATTGGCAGCTGATAAATTGTTTAGTAAGACCACTATCAAGCCAGAAGATGTTAATGTTGTAGAATTACATGATTGTTTCTCTGCAAATGAATTAATTACATATGAAGCTTTGGGCCTTTGTAAACCAGGAAAAGCTGGAGAGTTTATTGAGTCTGGTTCAAATACCTATGGGGGACAAGTAGTTGTTAACCCAAGTGGTGGTTTAATTTCCAAAGGCCATCCTTTGGGTGCCACAGGTAATTATTTTCTAACAATCTAATATAGTTAAGTTATACAATCTTTAACACCAGTTGTAAGTCTTGAATTACGTGGTTCTTGACACACCAATTGTATCATTTATGATGAATAACAAGTGATAGTTCTCTTTTGAGACAAGAGTATAGTTTCAAAATAAATATTTAAGCAACTGAAATTTAAAAAAAACCCAAAGCAATTTAAATGATAGTTTAAATCATTACTTGAGTTAAAAAAAGCATAGCCAATACTTATATGCAAATGTTAGTTATTCATATAATCTATAAATTTCTATTTTATTAATATGTTTAAGTAGGAGACAGCACAGTTGTATACACTTTGTTTTCTTCACAAGAATTTTTGAAAATAATTTGTATTATCAATCATTACAGTATCTTATTGAAAGTTTCCAACCTCAAAATTATAATTGTTTATATTATATGAATCAGGTACTGAATTTTTAATTGTATTTGAAGTTGAAGTAAGTTTTAATAGTTCTGCATATCATTGCACTAAAAACTATTAATCAATCATGATTTTTTAGTGCAATTTTTCAGTTTTTGGATAAAAAATTAGTGCAGTCCTTTTTTGGTGAATTTTAGAGCTTCAAATCTCAACCGTATTCATCAATCTATGTAAAGCACTGATGTCATGACTTTAATTGTTATGCAAATATAATGATGTTTTGTGTATTTATTCAATTTGAATATTAAAACTATTAAATAAAAAACCGATTATATCACAATTAGAGTTTCATAAATGTTTGCCCCAAATTCCTTAGCATTCACATTAAAATAGAATTTTGTGCTTATAAAATATTATATTTGTATTAGTAGAATTAATAAAAATCACCCTTTAACAAAAATCATTAATGTTATATGAAACTTTTTAGGAATTGCTCAGTGTAGTGAATTGTATTGGCAACTACTCGGCAAAGCCGGAAAAAGGCAAGTACCAGGTGCCAAGGTAGCTCTTCAACAAAACATTGGTTTGGGTGGTGCAGTCGTAGTAGCTCTGTACAAACAAGGATTTCCTAAGACTTCACAGTAAGCAAACGCCTCCATAATTACTTGACAAACAGAGTTGTTGTACATTTTTGATATTTATTTAACAGAATACAAAAAAAAGAAGTTGCTAAACCAACTACAGATAAAGATCCGACTGTTTTCAAAGTTTTTAAAATTTTCAAAATTCTTGAAGAAGCCATGTTGGATGACAAGGAAAATATAATAGAAAGAGTTCGTGGTATATATTGTTTTAAAGTAACAAACACACAGGGAAAAGAAGGCATGTGGATTATAGATGCAAAAAATGGAAAAGGCAGTATAACATTCTATGGCACAGGTATTACAAAAATTGAATTTATTATCTATAATAGTGGGTATAACTTACTGTAGTCAGTAAGCAAATAAAAATTAAGAATATGTACATAACGTTTTAAGTTTTAAGAATTGTTTGTATAACAATCAAACAAAATAAGTATAAACAAATTAATATATAAAATTGGTATTAAATGGATATTCAATTGTTATTTTTGAAATAATATATTATTTTATGTGATAATTAATTGTTACCAAAATAATAATTTTCTCTGAATATTTAAAAAAAATTTTAAATTGTATGCAAATGATAACCAATCCTGTTATTAAACCTATTTTAAAAAATTGTATATTGACTTACTGTTTACAGGCAAACCAGATGTAACATTCACAATGAAAGATGAAGATGTCGTTGAACTGATATCTGGGAAGTTAAATCCCCAAAAAGCATTTTTCCAAGGCAAAATTAAAATTCAAGGAAACATGGGCTTAGCATTAAAATTAGTTGACTTACAAAAACTCATGAGTCACAAAATAGCTGAATTACGATCAAAATTATAAATATGTTGTTATTGCTTAACGCATATAATTTTAAAATATTTTTATAAAAATTGTATTGTGAAACCAATCAACTGATGGGTGGTGTGTAATTCATAAGATTATTATTTCATGAGGTTTAGGTTTAAATTTATATTTTAGTTGGTTTTTATTCATTTTTCATTTTCATATGTGTTTTGTTAACTGTTATGCGTTGTATTGCATTCCATAAATTTCTTTATTATTATTATTATTATTGTGATTGTAACTATTATTTGGTATTTAAAATTAATAAAGTCTGTGTTTTTTAATGGAAAACAATAAGTGTACAATGCTATAACATAGATCGCAGTAGTCTCAAGTATAAAGCACTGCTATATTTCTCAAACGCTTGTTCTTATCAACCGCTACTTTGGGACACTAAGGGCCAGTTGTACTGTCTATGATTATGGTTAATCAGAGTTTAATCGGCCGAATTTGCCCGTTTAAATATCTGTTATCAGCTGATTAAGCTTAATCATAGTTTAATCATAGACGGTACAACTGGCCCTAACAGCGTAGCTCAGTTGATTCTCCTAGCTTACCCTTTCATTGGTGTGATGGGAAGGGGTAGGAGGGTCATTCTTGTACGTGTGGACTGTTGACGAACACCGTGACTTGCCTTGGTGACATTCTAATATTATATGTGTGACTAGATCCATGATAAAAACCTCCAACCATTATGAGTGACTTCGTAATTCATATTAGTACTTTGTTCTAATAAAATCTTATGTATCCATTCATAGGCGTGTCTACGGGTCTTGCCTGTCATGCACAGGCATGACCTGCGAAATTTGATCTAACTTACATTATAAATTGCGGTACATAATAATATACACATTTTTTCTTAGATTTTGATTTCATATTAAATTTTTGGATTTTCATCATGTGGACTTTTAATATCTATTAGAATTATTGAATTTTTTTTTAGTGGGTGGGGGGTGCAGAAACCTACTTCCCTGAATATCCCACTACTGTGCATGACCTGCGAACAAGGTCTGGACACGCCTATGTATCCATTATATATTTAATTTTACATTTGGTTTCTGTATTTTTTTCACCTCACACAAAACCAATTTTTACTGGACAACTGTCAACAATAATCAACAAATTGAACTTCAATGAAGTCTGTGTCAGCAATTAGCTACTAATATTATTTTTTATTTACTTGCTATTCAAAAATGTAATACATAAATAAATAATATTTTTGTCTTAGTTATGTCAAATTAAATTATAACAAAAATTAATAAAAATCATTAAATAAGTCAAAAGACAAAAGTAAATTAGTTTCCTGCACAGAATATTCTGTAAAGTACCATATTTGAATTACCTTAGAGTTTTTAATTTTTATCATATAATATGTTCCCTAAGCAAATATCTAAATTTCATTGAAGTTTTAAATTTTAAATTTAACTTTTCATGATTAATATTATATTTAATTCTGGGTAGATAAGTGACAGAACTAGTGGGTTAACTATGCATGTTGATAACTTAGTATTTAGTTGTTATGTAAATATGACTTCTGTAGGAGTTTAGAGTTCAACCATGTCGGGAAAATTTCAAAGTATAAGTAATAAATTAATGTCTAACGTATTTTGTCAAAATTCTAACTTATTGTGGATTTACTTTCAACCTTTTTTTGAATTTTCATTACAGCATATGTGAATATTTTCTCATCATTAATGACTACTTATTGTGTAATGACATCAAAAACAAAAAAAAATACAATATCATTGTAAAATCAATACATTCATCGCTCAGAATCGAATATAATAAACATTAATTAATTTAAAAATCAGAGAAAAATGTTTATGCACGGCAGACTTCAGATTTTCATACCACATGTATTTTAATGCTCATGATAAAATTATTAATATTTATCATATATAATACAGTATAAATTATAATAATAATCCATAATAATTTGTGACAATAAACTATGATGTTTCAAATAGTTATTCACTACTTCACTAGGCAGTATTATGGTTTAGTGAAAAACTTGTACTCCGCTTGTGGGCATTACCATTGATTATAAATAATATTGTATTAATATTGTATTTCAATTATACCTATTACTGTATCACTTGCCAATGGACAACTGAGATAAATATCTAAAGCCGTGACACAGACGTACAAACGACTAAGTGTGCTTGAGTGCTTCTAATATTGCCTATCTTCGACTCCTTTTTCTATAGTCTTACGGATATTAAATAATTATATCATACAATATACCTAGTAAATACGTCTCATAATTCATAAATCATAAAATTATTGTAACTGCAGATGTTTGTTTTACATTTCGTATCCAACTGTAAATTATAGTTCTGGCGCGTGTTACTCTCGATACACTGCTTATGATATTGCAATACACATTCATCGTATTCATTTTTATATCAAAGGGGGCTCTATGTTGGGGTGTTCAAGAGGATAAACTCCCCCCTCTCAATAACTGTATATTATAATATGCAAAAGTTTTCGGCCTCTAACTTTAAAGGAAGCACTACTGGATAAAACCCTACACCCCCCCCCCCTTAGATAAAAACAGTTTAACAGCTGATTTAGCTTTAAACCGTAGGTACCTTCAGTTTGCTGTAAGTAAAGCAAGACATTAACGGCATTCAACAAAACAGTTTTAACTTATAAATAGAAACTATTATAGAGAAAATAAAAAAAATAGATGATACCTAATTGACCTATGCTGATGCCACTTGTTTGTTATTCTCGGATTCTTCATGAAATGGGTTATTCGGGTATATCATAAAGCAACAAGAGGATTAAACTCAACATAAAAATGTACAAATGAGAAAAGTTTGTCATTAAATTTTAAAAAGTTTATGAAAATTTATGAAGTTTTCAACTAACAAATGTATGAATATCGATTCTAATTGGTTCATTTATAACTGTAATACTCTTTTAATGTGTAATAATATGAACTGTAAACAAATCAAGTAAATATCAAAAATCCGTTATTTACGTGTTATATCTTATATTTGATGAACATTTGAGTTGCAACCTGCACATTTGCAATTTAGTTAGAGAAGTGTGGCGCAACTAAAGTTCAAATCTTGGGGGTGCTACAAAATTGTGAATTGCTTACATAGTCGTGACTCGTGGGGGGCTCCTATTTATTAATTGTATTGTACTATTTCATAAAATCATAGTTATTAGTTAGGTACTGACAGTAACTATTACTGTATTATACATTTCTATTTTATACACATTTTATAGGGTATACAATTCAAAATCTATTTTTTTTTAAAAATACACAAAATAGTAATTACACAAAAAAAAATTATCAAGAAAAAATGCTTGAGAATAGGTTAATTACTACACTTGGTGAAAAACATTTAAAAAATTATTTTTTGGATTTCTTACAAATTGCAGTAGGTATACTATTAATATAAAATATAAAATAATTCTATAATATTATCATATGTATTAAACAGATTAATTTTTAGCCATTGTATTATTAATTATTTGTTGGTTTATTAAAAATGTTTTAAAATAAATCATATTATTATAGTCGTATATTCTACAATAACACTAATAATAAATATATTTATTAATCCTTCGTAATTATGAAATAAAATATATATTAACAAATCCATAATTAATTATAAATTAGTAAGCTTTGAAATAGAGTAAGTACTGCTGAGGAATAAAAAATGATAAAATATAAAATGTAAAATTTTAAGTTAATAAATTTAATGAAAACTAAAAATTTTACGGAGCAACGCATGGCACCACTATGTTGGTTGAGGGCGTTTATCGCCACATCAACACTTTTACGGTGAATTTCCTATGTGATATCTTTTTTTGTCTTCATATGGGTCTCGATTGTTATTATTATTATTATTACTATTATCATTGCTGATACAGTCGTCATATCAATTTTCACTTGGACCAGATGAGGGGGTTAACCATACGGCGATTTGGGGCAGTAACCATGTGTCGGACCTCCGCATTTATGTATGTCGGACTAGCAGTATATATATCTGCACTCAACTAGACACCATCACAAAGTAGAGCGTCGGTAAACCGTTTCTCTCCATAGCCCGACCAACCGCAGAGCGAGAGCCGCTAGATGGTGCCATGCGATAGGTTTACAAATAAGTTAATATTATTATGTTCTCGCCACGGACCGTGGCGAATATTGTGTTGGTCGATCCACCAGATGTTCTAAATTGCCAATATTTATATTATGCTATTATTCACAATTTATTGTTACACAACAATTATTTAACTACGCACATAATGTTAAAAATTCAAATATATGCAAAAAAACTAAATATCTTAATACAATTACAAAATATATAAGGTATATTAATAAGAAATTCAATCAAAATGTTCAGTATACTTCTGCTTACAAATTAGTACAAACTACTGTTTAATTAAATAAATGAAAAATAAATAGAATATGGAAAATGTAATACTTATTATTTTGGATCAAGTACCAATATGAAGATACAAAATGTGATTTTATATTTTAAAACTAGAAATTTCTGCGATTGTCACGTAGCATAGATTTATATTACATGACCGGCAGCACACTCGCCTAGCCTCGTCGATTATCAGAACGGGAAATTAAATAAAAAATAAATAAATATACGTTTTGTGAATCAGAGCTAAATATAAAAACAATTCATCAACTATTTATATAATAGATGCCACTTAATATATACATATGGTATTAACACTATTGATAGAACAATATTTTCTGGAAAAAATTCTTGCAATAGAGACCTGATTTTAATAAAAGTATTGAGAGTTGAGTCTTGACAAAAAATGAATTGTGGACTATGAGTAAATTAGATAATTTGATGTTTTAAATAGTGTATAGTTTGAATTATAAATTAATGAAATATTATATACATTCTACACAGTATAAATTCAAAAAATTTATCCATAAGTTATTCATTAATTATTACAACTACATATTCTAAAAACTCTTAATCCAACAATATATTAATATTTTAATTATAATTGATCGTTTTAAATATATTATAAAAAATAAATACCTATATGGATATTTCATAATTTATTCTTACAAATTATTTTGACAGCAAAAGAGATTTTACATGAAAATAGTTAATACTTAATAGGGAATAATTGGTAAATTTAATTTTTTTTATTTTAAATTGTCTGTCCTTGTCCTCCTGAGCCTCCTGTACCTCCTCGCCCATCACGTCCTCCATGCTGACTGTTCTGGTCATCTCAATTGTTTCGTTTCCGTTTGCATAAACGGCGGGTTTTTTTGATTTTCCGCTGATTCTTCCTGCAAAGTCGTATTATCTGTAACTAGTAATTAGAGTTTATTAGTCAGTTTGTTATCATTAGACAATAATCAATAGTTAAATAGTAAATAAATACATGCATTAAAATATATTGTTATATTTAATTAATTTTACCAATTTCTTTTGACAGGATACAAGACCCGATAATGTCTCAAAGTCTCTCAAAGTATTCTCTTGGATAGCAGCAATGGTACGATCATGTTCAGGTCCAGGTCTATAAAAATGTCCATATCTGCAAAAGAATACACGGTCTTGACCTGGATGGTCAGTATTAACCATGGTCCTAGTGGCATCAACAAAGTTACTGGCTGTGGAGGTGCAGGTGACGGTAACAATGCTGGCTGTGGTAGTAGTGACGGCAACAATGCTAGCTGTGGTAGTAGTGACGGCAACAATGCTGGCTGTGGTAGTAGTGACGGCAACAATGCTGGCAGTGGTGGTGGTGATGGCCAAATTTCTAATTGTGTTGGTGATAGTGGCAGCAGTGAAGGTGCTGGTAGCGGTTGAGTTGGTGCTGACTGAAGTGGTATCTGCAGTATTTGTGTTGGGGCTGGCGGTATCCCACATTTCGATTGACATTGTATTTTTTCTTTCCATCTTTAGACAGCATATTTTGATTTCAGTTTTTTCGAAACAAAAAGTTTTACCAATTAAATATTATAAAATAAATAAATTAAGCTAGAGGTCAATCAGACTATACACTTCACAATTCACTGGAGTAGGAGTGTATTATTTTGTTGTAATTCAATAACATTATTTGTAGGGACTAATTAAGTTATACATTTTACTATATTATGCAATGACATTTTAAAAATACTTAGATTAATTTTTAATTTTAAGCTATTACTTATATTTAGGATTTTGGAAGAAACAGAGAATAGATAGATTTTATAGACAGACGTATTCTCTATAAGATTTATGAAGAACAAGAAACCATTATTAATATTAATACAACAAGTGACTGCTAAAATCCAAAAAGGTGTGAGTCAAGGGTGCCACTGTCACCTGCATTGTTCAATGTATTTATTGAAAAAGCAATAAATGTCATAAAACTTTGTTTAGAACAAGAAGGACAAGAAGGAATTGGAGTGAAAATAGGAGGGGTACTAATAACAATGCTTCGCTTCGCTGATGATATAGTAGTTCTTGCAACATCTGAGAAAGACTTACAGTAATGAATATTACGTTCAAAGAATAGTCTGAAAATAAATGCTGCCAAGACCAAAGCCCTAGTATGCTACAAGAAAAACATACTATCTATAAATATATCGTTAGAAAACAAAGAAATTATCCAAGTAGACAATTTCAAATACTTAGGCAGCATTATAACAGACGATGGGAAATCAGTTAAAGAAATCAGAAGTAGGATAGGTCAAGCAAAGAATACATTCCTCAAAAAGAGAAAATTACTAACATCAAAAAATATGAACATAGTAACGAAGAATCGGCTCATAAAAACATACGTCTGGAGTGTGGCATTATACGGAAGTGAGACCTAGACAATTAATAAGATAGAAAAAGATATGTTAGAAGCTTTTTAAATGTGATGTTGGAGAAAGATGCAGAGAATAAACTGGATTGATAGAAGATCAAATGAAGGCAGCCTGAGGACAAAAGATGAAAAACGAACATTGATAGACATTATAAAGAGAAGGAGATGGCAGATGATAGGACACACTTTAAGGCATGGAGATGAACTGCATAGTATAATAATCGAAGGAATGATAGAGGGTACAAGATCAAGGGGAAAACCTAGGACGAGATACATTAGTCAAATAATGCAGGATGCAGGAGTCACTTCCTACAAGGAACTTAAGAATATAGCAAATGATAGAGAAAAATGGAGAAGTAATTTATTGTAAAACATTTTGTTAAAACCAATCTCCAGATTGAAAAACTAAAAAAAAAAAAACTTATAATATGTACCTACCATAAACCTATTCCCACTGTTTTACTGAAGGCAGTATTGACTCAAATATTATTATCAATAATAAATTATAATATGATAGAAATATAATATAGACTATCTATTAAAATAATAAAATATTAATTAATACAATAAATACAATGTTTTTGGCAAAGACTAAACCGACTTTAATACTTATATAAAAATTAGTTACTTTAATAGAAATAATAACATGGTATACCTACCAATTTTGCTAGAAAGTCATATGACCTATTTTTTCTGTTATTTTAATTTTACATTAGTAGAGTAGGTTGATATTCATTTGTTGGTATGGTTAATGGAAAGTAACTAACTTCCTTATTATATTTTAAAAATAACAACAATAATCTTAATTTGGAGCCTCAAAATAAATCCTTGCACATAGAACTAAGAGTTTATAGTTGTGGCATTGTAATTTATCACTTTATCAGTAAGACGTATTATATTATATATAAATTTATATTTCATTGCATAAGCATTTGTTCTGAAACAATAAGCAATGTTTTTTTTATGATACCAATAGTTATTATGGAGATCGGAAATTTTTTTTAAATTTAATTTGTGTGGAAATATTGTAATAACTTTAAAAGAATTTTATTATTATTAATTGTATATTTCCAACAATCATTTGAATAATTAAACTTGTAATTTATTGTACTAATTGTTACATGCAATTATATTTTTTAACACTTTAAGTTTGAATAAAAGGAAATAAATAAATACTACATAGAAATTTGAACTATGTTTATAGATTCGATCTTTAAATTAATTACTAGCTTTAATGTTAACGTTATCTTCTTCCTTGCAATAAATGTAATACCATAATATCAGTCAGTTTACCATTGAGTTACCTACATTGGTAGAAATACATTTTTAAATGTAGAAAAAGATTCAGGTAGTTGTATTAAAAATATATTCTAGTGTATAGGTATAGCTTGTACATTTGTCAACTACCTCTGATATTTTATGTTAATATTAAATATAGCAATTAGTAAGTGTGTAATAAGTAATAACTATAAACATTACAATATTTATTAAAGTATTGAAATTAATGTGTATATTATGATCTTGTAATCAATAAGGTTTATACATATTGGTAAAAATCAATGATGTAGGTAATGTGAAATTATTGGACGAGGAGAGTATGACAAAAAATAAGTAACTTGAATTAGTAAGTCAATGTTCAGAATGTTAAGTTCCAAGTTAAGAATAAAATATACAAAAGTTCTAAAAGTTTTGAGGTATTATGGAGAAAAATATTAACATAACTCAGTTAAAAAGAAGTACATTTTTTTAAGCCTAACTTTTCTATTTATTTTAAATAACAACTAGATATCTGAAGATGCATCTATACTATTCCTTCATTGCACACAAGCATTTTGGGCAATTAAATGTAATTGTCAACTATGTTATTAAATCAAAGAATATTAATTTGATTAAATCATGCAATATATACTTCACATTGTTGGTGACTTAATCAATAATGTTGTAAACTTTATTTTGTTCTTAATAAGCATAGAATAGATTAACCAGAACAAATATGCAATTGCATATTGAATCCTTTCATTAGTTATAAATTGTTGCTAATTAAAATTCATACTGAAAAAATCTAGTTCATACAATGTATACATACATACATACATAATAATATAATTATATATACTATTGTTAAAACTAATTAAATAATTTTTTAATTGATTAAACTGTTATTTGATACTAAATGTACAACCTAGTACCCTCCTGTTATTGTCCAAACCACTACAATAATGTGAAATAAAATGTAGGGTTTATTAATAATAAAATATTTAGTTATTGTTTACAACAAATTAAAAGTTGTACACCAAACACTATAATATAATATTATATGACATGTATTAACAAAATGGAAGCAAATAAAATTGAAATTCCTTGTAATTTAATATTTTTCTCTATATTAACTTTTAATTTTTTTAGTTGAATATATTGATTGTTAATTATTAACTTGTAACTCAATGTTCTTAATGTTGAATTAACTTAACTCGAAAGATTTTTTTCTTTAACTTTTCCACTTTTGCTTATTGTGGGATATTAGATACCTAGTTGTATTTAACAGTTACATTTACATAGCCAGAGCTGGCTGAAGAGTGCGACCGCACTAGGCCCCGTGCTTAAGCAACAGTCACATGATGATAGAAAAATGTGATAGTAGACTGGGTGGAGTTCGTACGGTGAGAGAACTCTGTCCTGAAGCAACTATCAAAGAACTATCTCGTTTTACTAACATCATGTTACTGCAGCTCTCAAACACTCAATCCCTCATTTTAATTTGATTAAAAAAAAAAGCTTTATGGCAGCTTAATACGTATATATATTGTATCATCTCACATCTTGTATGGTCCATCGTAATATAGTTATTCTGTGGGTTTTTAATTATTACACTATCATGTTAGTATATTACAAGTCTACATTGTTATAACTAATGATGTAAATTTTCATGAAAATGATTAAAGAGTAGAAAATTTTATAATTTCTTATCAAATAAAACCATTGGTATTATAGTTATGGATATAGGATAATTAAGAGGATGTCAGCGCACTATTTGTTTTCTCTCTCTGACCCACGCGCAACATAGACAAAACACATTTAGACAAAACACATTTACACAGAAACATTTTTTCTATGTTTTTAAGTAATCTTAGAGTAAAATCACCCATTACAAAAAGATAGAGAATAATATTTTTGAGGGAATGTCATACCGATTTGTCTAAATATTGTCTCAAAACAATTTAAACATAATTTTAATGTACAACTTTTTTTGTTTATTTTGAAAGTCGAATACAAAGTCAAATAACAATAAAATATAAAATCCATATGACATTCCCTCAAAAATATTATTCTCTATTTTTTTTGTAATAGGTGATTTTACTCTAAGATTACTTAAAACATAGAAAAAATGATTCTGCGTTCATGCGTTTTGTCTATGCTGCGCGTGGGCCAGAGAAAGAAAACAAATAGTGCGCTGACATCCTCTTAAAGACATAGTTATAATTAAAACTGTGTACTTGTAAAAACATTTACCTATTTTAATATTATTATATTGAACATAATATAGGAAATCCAAAATCCAAATATTTATATACATTTTTAATTTTTTGTTTGAGTCATTTCCTTTATTAACTAGGTACCTACTTTCACTTTTTATAGTTATTAAAATTTACATTGTACCTACCTAGTTTTAACACAAGAACACAAGTCACAACTATTTATAATTGATAAATATGTTATACTTAAAATGCAGGTACCTATAGGTATATTTTAATTATAGCTCCTATTCACAGTCGTTTAATTCCTAATTAAATAATAAACATTTAACTATCATACCAACTGTACAACCTCAAAAATTTATATGTTACTAACATGTAACAAAACGCAATATGTTACAAACAGTCCGCTGATATCTGATTGAAATATTGAATGATTTAGATTAAATACCTATCGGATAAAAGACATACAACTAGGTACAAAGTGTAATATATTATTATTATTTATTATGCTTACATCCAAGCTTTGTTCCTCATATATA